CTGAGAATCTATTATTATTGTCACTCAGAGTGATATGCATCAGTCCTAAGTCCATAACCCTCCCAATTTAAACATCCTGAAACAATTCATAAAAATGTTAATACTAAGTTTTTTCCTCTCTAACATTGTATAAATAGATGAAACTTCTCATTGAGTAGTTGCTTCATTTTCCTGGTGAGGAAACTGAGGCTCAGAGAAATTAAATGCCCAGAGTCAGGTGTAGAAGCAGGAAGACTGGGACCTAAATCCTTTTCCTAATTTCATTGATCTTTTCAGTGCCCTAAGTCTTAGCAGAATTTCTGACCAACTTATTTGTCTATTTTCAGGCTTGAAGAATAGAATGTGAAAAGTGGATATTCTATTCTCAAAAACAACAAATAGCTATAATATTGTAAAGCTTTTCAGGTATTGTACAACTAAAACTTCATGCTCTGGTGAAATATATGAGTTGTGGTTCTTTACAGAGGCAGAAATTTTAATGTCAAAGTCCCTATCTCAAAGCAATTGGCTCTTTGTGGAGTGTGTGGGGGCAGCGTGGGGATGGAGGGGAGATGGGGTAGTCTTCTGACCTTGAGGCAGCTGCCATGGTCCAGCTCAAGTATCAGCTAGAGCAGCTGCCAAGTTAATCCACCAAATAGGGGGACATTTTTTGGAAATCCCTGTTCCCTGTACAGCTCCTATTAAATAGTTTGGGCAAATTCTTCCACACAAGGCCGTTAAACCTCACTGGGAAGGGAGAAAGGAGAATAGGGAGGGGTTTACATTACTGCTCCCACTTCTGGAAAAATCTAATTGCCACTCATATTCCCAATAAAATACCCAATTGCCCGTGGGGATGAGGGGTGGGGTGGAGGCAGTCCCTGTGTTAGCACCCAGGTATAACTGGCATGTAAGTAGTACAGGAAGAGGAAGGGCAGCCAATGGAAGCAGACTGAACCAGGCATCTCCAGGAAATGAGGCTCACAGGGCCTGCTTTCCAAGGGAAGCCCACCTGTCTCACAAAGTCCTCCCCACCTTACTGTTGTTCTGTCTTCTGAAGTTAACTAGGGCCTGGTGTAATTTTTTTGAAATAAATTAAAAAATTAACACATAGGTCATTTTCACCAAACTCTCTTAGCATTGACTGAACATATAGCAGGCATGGCCTAGAAAGGTGGAAACTTAGGGGGCAATTTTGCAGCTAAAGACTAGTTAATGTATAGAGGCTTTACATAGTTTGACCTGTGACCTCTTTCAACAGGTTTTTCTGGGAGGAATGGGGTGTGATTGGGTTCAAAGTGCATCCTGCAGACGGATGAACAGGAACCAGGGCCTTCTATGAGATCCAATTTGATGTAGTGCTGAATTCAAACCCTGCTGAGAAATTATTTTTTCTTTGAGAATGAGGGTGGGGAAGGCAACAATGCTCTTCCGGTCTATCAAAAAGCAGAGTCCTCATTCACCACTGGTGGAGAGAGTTGATGTCTAGTTTTTGCCATGAGTTTCTAACACATAATTTGACTATGTGATTAGGTGAAGAGAGAGGGTACACGATACAGTAGAGATTGCATGAAATCACAGGCAGCAAAAGCAAGGGCAGGTGAATTGCCATGAGGAAAACACCTGGAAATAGAACATTGGTCTTAAAATATTTGCAGTTCCACTGATGAGGTCTGAAGTGAGTTCACAGGAGAGCAAGTAAGCCTGAGATGCTTCTGAGTTTCTAAGGCAACCTCATTCCCTGACATGGGACCAGTAAAGAGAGGTCAGACCACCAGTGAATCAAAGAGAACTTTGTATTACATTCTAAATGTTCAGGGGAAGACTAATGATGAAGTATGAAATCCCAACAACCTAACCTTGCATTGGACAAATACTAAGTTAGTGAGTTGGGTTCTGAGGTGGTGAAGGCGAACCAGGCCTGCAAAAAGTTCAGAGGCCAGGAATCTGAATCAGTGGTGAGGTCTGTATCAATCTGTCCATATCCTCTCTCACGGATCAAAGACTGGTACTCCATCATACACAGATTTCCTTCTCTATGTGAAAGGCTCTTTCTCAAACACTAAGAACTACACAAGCACAGCTCTTTGCAAAAATGAATGTCACTTCACCCTACCTGACCTCATCCCCACTGCCTCACCTTCATCTCACCAGACAGGCACATGAATGTCAGTGTTCATGACATGGGTTCAGTGGATGGCAGACAAGAAGCATGACTCTCCCCCTGCAGCCTCAGAGAAGTATTGCAAGGATATATGGCAACTAAGCCCAAAACCTGACTTCTCAGAATGTAAGCTGGACTCTTCAGACAATTATTCAGATCCACATTAGAATATTCCAATAACGCATGGAGTTTTCTCTCTCCCCATTTGCCCCACTGAGTCCATGGCCAATACTTCCTCCCACTTCTCTTCAACACAAATAATGACAGAAGTAGTTAAGCACCTGAGCAGACTATAAGGACACTCAGAACATTCTAGGGGCACAGGTTTCTGGCTGATTATTAGACAGTGGGGTCAGGTCCCACTCACACACAGAGTTATGACAGGGATCCACGAAGATCCCACTGCCTTTGCTGAGCAGGCACCTAATGAGGCAAAAAGGAACTGCATGATAGAAGCTTCCAGAAGAGTCAAATGTGAACCCGGGAAAAAGTCAATAAGCCAGAAATAGCTGAGGCCTTTCAGCACCAGTCACCCTGAATTGCTTCTGAGCTACAGGCACAGGGAGCTGGGTCTCAGGTCCAGCAGGGTCATTTACTAAAAGTGCATGGGGTTTGAATCTTTAAATATTATTCATTAAGCTGATAACATTCAAAAGGTTATTAAAGTAGTAAGATGGCAGTCCTTCAGCAAACCTCATAACAATAATCAAGAAAAGGCTTGACTCTGAGAAAGCTGTCTCAAAAATAACATGCTGTTTGTTGACTCTATGACTTTTCTCTGGTTCTAATTCTTCATGGCTGATAAGTGAACATTGATCTCTGGCTCTTTACTAATTCAGATCTCACCTGATTGCAATCTCCCTGATGTTGCTGTACCCAGGGCACCTTTCTCTCAGGGAACCCCCCCTCCCAGGAAAGACAGTATAAAGTCTGAAGGTTCAAAGACAACTGAGAAGTCACCCAGTCCACCTGCCCACCAGACCAAGAATTGCCTATGTATCCCCAACAGGAGTCATCTGGCCACCTCCTGGGCCCCTCTGGTGTAAGGAGATGAACTGCTGCTTCTTAATCTATGGAAACCCTACAGAGTCCTTTGCTGCTCCTCCCCTGGCTTTAAGAGCAGTGAATTCCCACAGCATCGTGGAAGCCTTTTGAAACTGGCCTCCCCCAATGGCCATTTGGAAGGTCCTTTGTTACTGGATTACTGAATAATTGCCCGTGGAGTCACTTCTGAGCCAGGATTCCCCTCCATGCATGATTAGATAGTGAAGCAATTCTCCTCAGGAAGGTGCCTTGAGGTGATTGCATTGTGGGAACTCGAGGCCATAGTATTGTCTAGAAACTTGGTTCGTTTTAGGTGGCTGAGCCTCAAGGTTGGGGAGAAATTCATCTCTGGGCCTACAGAAGAGAAACATGATAAAAGAAACTACATGAGATGTTAGTCAAGGGAAAAGAAAACATTTCCTACCCAATAAAGTAAAAATCAAGCACTGAATTTGACTCCAGATGTAGTGAAGTATAAGAAAAGCCAAAAGTGCTAGGCAGATTGCTAACTCCTGTGAGGAAACAAGAAGAAAGCTTCACTGATATTATCACAAATAATTTTTCCAACATCATTTAGATGGACTTTTCATTTTGGTTCAGAGCCTTATTTTGTGCTCCTCACAGGGTCTCTTCAGAAATCAGCTCCTCCTCACCCAGCTTCCACTAAAGATGTAAGAATTCCCACACACTTTCTAGAAATAATCAAAGTCTGCTCCATTTTTTTAAAACCTGAAGTCCACCTCAAAATGTTTACTCAAACTAAACATTTATTTTTGTCATTTTCATCTGTGAAAATAAATATATGGCACAAATTCCTGTTACTTTTAATTTTCCAAAAATCGTTTCCTTTTTTTATCTCATGAAATGGCGGTTCACTTGAGCAGACACAGTCAAGATAATAAGTATTTTTCTGATTTTTGAGAAAATGTTGTTTGTTGTTCGTAATCACCTGATGACCCAGGAGTGCGGAACTAGAGAGTGTTGGTCTGACAGCCCCTTGTCTGGGCGACACACCCACACAGCATTTAAGAATGGCTCACGGCTATGGAGTAACCACGAGCATTCTTCCTTTCGAAGAAATTGTAGATTTCTTCTATGGAATCTCTGTGCCATGCAAACATCTAACCCAGTGTTAGGAAGAAGACATGGACATCCAACTTTCATTATAAAAAGAAAAAGATCAAGTAAATGTTCCTTTTTGAAAAATCCGATGGAAGAAAATCTGTGCTTTTCTGCTCCCAGGAGCACATGCTTAGGAAGCGCTGAATTAATCAAGCCAAGACTGTCTTTGTCTAGCCGTAGCCAGCACACTCCCAGAATCCATGAATCACAGGTTATTTTCCAGAGCAGACTTAGAACTCAATTCAAACGTGCTCCTTGGGGGTTGCTGGGAAGGGCCCAAAAGCAGGTTGTTAGACTTTAGAAGCCTAAGGAGGACATAGAATAGGCTGAGCCATTCTATAAGTGGCCTGGCAAAGGGGAACAGGGACACCAGCCAGTCACAGCAGGCAAAGCAGCTTTCAACTGCATGCCTAAGGGCCAGGCTCTCTGGAGCCCCCTCCCCTGGGAAGCCAGGTGTGAGGTCACCACTCAGGTGCAGAGTGAAGTCAAATTGTTTCTTCTTTGTTTTATGTGAGGCTTTAAAAAAAACAAGTCAGCATAAGGCTTGAGCAATAAGCCAGCACTGGGGCTGAGCTGTGGCTGAGATTTTCCCAAGGCCACGGTTTCTGTCTGCCACTTTGGAAGCCCTTCTTTCTAGCAGGACCCTGGGCAGCGCAGGGAAGCATTCAGACACAAGAGCGTCAACACTAACCTGAGAAGTAGCTGCAGGTGAACTAGTTGCCTTACCACTCACTGCTGCCCACTCACTGGCTGCGGCTTCTGCCACTTCTGCCTTCTGCACATTGGAATCCTCAGAACCCGGAGTCCCTATGTGCCCCAGACCTTCTCTCACTGGGGTGGAAGGCGGGTTGGTGGTAGCTTTCCGGGTTTGGCCTTTATACCAACTAGGGTAAAGCAAGGGATCCGCAGTGTCCGTTGCTGCAGGGACTGGAGTTTCAGACTCTGTGGTCTGCTGAGAGCCAGTGGGTACAACCTCCCCCTTAATCAGGACAGATATTCAAAAGTAAAAAAAGAAAAGAAGAAAAAAAGCAGTCGATTTTAGTTCCCTTCGGGCTTGACAGCTGTAGCTCCGTGTGCTGTGCTGCTTTAGCGCATGTTTTAGTTCACCCCACCCTCGGCAAGCGCTAGGGGCAGAAATGCTAACAGTGCCCTCTTCGTGGCCTCTGCAGCGACCCTCTTCTTTTCTGGGCTTGTCTTTCACAAGATGGTAGCCTGGCCAGGCAGACCACAGAATTCTAAAACGAAAGTTACTTACAAAACATCAGATACGGGCGAAAGGTCAAACTGTTGACCAAAATTAATTTTGACATACGTGGGCCCCCAAAACCTCTTTTCTAAAACCAACCATTGATCGTACTCTCATTTGGTTACCACCCCTCTTTCAATTTCAGTGCAGCTGGTATACTAGATTTTCAAGTATTTTAGCCTGGTTCCCTATGGAGGTAGAGCATAGACTATACCTCCATCCCTGTGTTCTCACTCAGAGGTTTAGTTCCTATAGGTCATTTCAATCCACTTTGAAAGCAGATGCAAAAACGGGGCTCCTTTGTGATGAGTCTGCATTGTCCACAAACTCACCAGGTTAGGACCTGCCTGCTGACGGTGTCACGCAGACAGCACAAAGGCTTGGAAACTGTCCAGTGACATCTTAGAAATACAAGGTCAGCCAATCAGGAATATCACTGGGATGAGCTAATTTCCTTAGAAAATTTTTAAACAATTCTGTCAACACATAACTTCATCAAATGATAGATACATAGAAAATGAGACTTCATTTGTTTGCCCACTGAACGATAGAGTTGTATTTCAGGGTAAACAAGAGGGATATAAACTAGCCCAGCTTCTCTGTTCACTTCCTTGATTATCTGTAGAAAGTGCAAAGTTCCGAAAGTATAATCATTTTTATTTTTCACCTTTTATTACATACCCTTACCCTATCTATACCTTATATCTGTATTCAGAGCAGACTTAATCTTCATGATACTGGCTCTCTATGAATATGTGACAGACACTCAATCTCCAGACAAAGAGTGCCTCAAACTTGAGGTTGTTATTGGTGGAAAATCACGTTAAACCAAGTCCGGCCAACCAGCTATAACAGCAACGAATCTTTTGAATAACCTACAGGGGCTTTTCTCCCTAACACTGTGACTGCCCTGAAATCTTTTGTCTTCCACATACAAGTGTCCGGCATATAGTTATCTTTTCCTTAAGGTAGAATAAGTTGTTTAGGCTGTTGGGCAAGGAAGCACGCCCGCATGTCCTGTAGGGAAGAACTCAGGGACGGTTTACCTGTGTCACCGGGGCGTCCACAGCAGGAGCCAAGGCCGGAGGGGGTGGCTCTGCAGAGGAAACAGGAGGAGTCGCTGGGCCAGCCTGGAGCTCTGAGGCCAGCTGAGAGGGCTCCAAGGCTTCCTCCAGACTCTCCTCCTCTTCTGATGGCTCTGCCGGAACATTTTCTACCTCTTCCAATTGTATACCTTCTACCTCTCCCTCTCCTCCGCCTGCCTCTTCTCCTTCTCCCTCGGCATCTTCTCCTTCCTCCTCCTCTTCATCTTCTGGTAAGGTAATATATTTTGAAATCATGACAATTGCCACTGCAGCCATGAAAACAATGAACGGCCAGGGCTAGGGGAATCCTCTTTAACAGGCACTTGACTTTGGCCCAAGTACACCATGCTGGACCTTTGGGCTTCTAGTTAATGTGGAAGGGACAAACGTGAGGGGGGCCAAATCATCACCAGCTTCCTTGCTCCCCCCCAGTACGACGCGCAGTCCTCAGCGCCACCACACACCAGCCCCCTGTCCCCAGAGCCAGTTCACATTGTTATCACACTCAGTCCCAGCTACAGGCTCCTGAAGGGCTAGGACTGTCACTAATGTATCTCCATCGGATCAAATGGAAATGCAACTCTCTTCCTTATCTGAGAAAACATGTCTTATTTTAATTTCTTACCTCCTTTGTTCAGTGAATGCTGGCTTTTGCCAAAATTAATGCCATGACTGTTTTCTTAACACATTGATCTTAATATTCCCTCAAACAATATTAAGGAGAGATGATATTGAGTAATTTTTAAAAAGATGCACCCTGAAGATTCGCTTGTAAAGTTACATCTGTGGCACTAATACAGCTTCATGGCATTAGCAGTGGTCTAGCTGAGGTGTCTCATCATCTAGATGGGCTAGGACGGATCAAGGCCCTCAAAGACTGGTCAGCTCCAAGGTTATTTTTGTCTTTTCAATGATTTAATCAGGATGAATTTCCAAGGTTGGGATTTCTGGGCCAAATGGTGAAGATGCGTTTATTACTCATGGAGTCCACCTAGTCACAAGGACCAAGTTTTATTTCCAGGTGGTGACTTATTCTGTCACTTGCTACTATTCCTGCCCTCTAAAGTTTGATTAAGTGGATATGCTACAATATCTATCCAGGTGTCTTCTGTGTTTTATTTTTATCTCATCTTTAACCTTGCACCTGATGACATTTTACATCACTGTGGCTAACACTTTGTGTAGGGATGAAACTGAGATTTCATCATCACCATCAATTAAATATTTGACTACCCAGAGTCAAATGCCCAATAATGGCATAATAGGCACCCTGATATGCAAGGCTAAATAAACTGTATGATCTTGTAATGAAATAGAGCTTCACATTAGATTATAATCCTTGTAAAATTGTCACCATCCATTCTGAAAGTGATTCTGAATTCACCTTGCCTCCCACTGAACTCCTCTGCGGCTTTCACACACTTGCAATTTTGGCCAAATGGTCACAAGAACAACGAACCTCTGTAAAAATCAATTTCGCGGATTATTTTCTCTTCTCTGTTGAGGTTGACTGTGAAGTGGTTCATGTTCTCATAACCATGCTCTATTTTCTCCATCTGAAATGCCTTCGATGCTTCAGAAATTCTGCAACAAAGACAAATTGCTACTTTCTGTCACTGTTTATGGTTTGATAGCCTTGGGTAAAAATGAAAAGTATGCATTTTCCCATAAAATGAAAATTACTTACTTTTGTAACAGAGTTTTGGCATTCTGTGAAAGCAAACAAAAGACAAGCCTATTTAAATTCGTTTCATCAAGGACTGTGTTGAGACTTAACTCTTTCCTTTGTTGACTCTGAAAATCTCATAGCTTAAGTTTTAAATGCCGTAACTAACTGCTCCTTTGTACCAGAACCCTCTCATATTTAAGCAATGTCATGGTCCCTTAAATATATGCTCAGAAATTTGTTTAAATGGAGAATAAGTACATAATGGACTTATATTTTAGTTGATAAAATAGATCAGAATGAGATACATAAAACAAAAATGTGATGACAACTACTTCTCCAACGCCCACCTGCTTGGTTAGTTTCCTCTGGTGCCAAAAGGAGACTTACCTGCAGAAACACTGCCATTTCTGGCTCATCCATGAACTGGATTCCTGACTCGACCAACTTTGATACATTCTCCAAATGATCAGAATACTTTTTGATCAGAGCACGGACATGTTCCAGCTTCTCCCCTTGGGTTCGGGTAATGACTTGGGTCATCTCATTCTTCCTCTCCTCCAGGATGCCATACAGGTAATCAAACTTCTCACAAAGTTCCTGTTTCTGCTTTTTGCAGCATTCCTGTTAGTTGGGTTAGCTAATGTTAGAAAGTGTTGGAAAGAATGTCTATTTGGAAAAATCACCTGGACATTTTAGGAGATAAGAAAATTTACTTATGTAGGACCCTTTCCCTTTTTCCTTCAGCTGTCACTTACTTATAGACACCCACTGTGTTGATGCTTTGAACATCCCACTTTTTTGGATTTTGAGCAATCCAAAATCAATCAAATTGGCTAAATGAATCAATTATTTTTCAATCTTTTGTTCGTTATAAACGGAGAATTTCATATAAATTAGGACAGGTTTTGTTTTAAATTATATATTGGTTATATAGCTTACAGGCTTATATTTTGCTTTGGAGCGTGTGTGTATGTAAGAAAAAAACTATGGTATTTCCTGGATTGTACCCCCAGTCTCTCTCTGTCCCGCCTATACTGCTCCTGTTCTAGCTTCAGTCCTCCCGTGTAGATTCTGAAGCTTCCAATAGCCTTTGCATGTGGGATACCCCCTTCAAGCCAACTAACACACCGCTGCCACTGTCCAAAGAATAACACTTTAACTTTACAACTGGCTTTCAAACCCCTTCATGACCTGGGCCCAGCCTTCCTCCACAATATTTCACTCCTCTCCATCACATACTAGGCCTGTGTCCAACAAAAATAAAACACTCACTTTCTTTGCTCATGTTTTCCCTCTGTTTAGAATATTCATCCCCAATTCACAGCTGCAAATGCTAAACAATCTTAAAGACATGTTGAAATACCACTTCTTCCATGAAACTTTCCTTGATCGCTATGGCTGAATGTCATCTTTTAATCTTCTGAAATTCCATAATAGTATTCATTTATGGCATATACTTGTATCCACCAGGTGCCCTATTTCTCCAGTACTGTCTAAGAGAGGGAAACACTGAATCTGGTCTTGGATTCCTGGAGAGAAAAGCTGTATGGGAAGTCAGCCTTGTCCGTTTGCACTGTGTGACTAAAGCATTTTCAGTACCAATCCAGCTCCTTTTATTGAGTCATGTTTAAATCGTAATTAACTTTCCGGTTGCCTGGTAATTGGTCGTTTTTGGTTTTTCGAGCCCCAGTAAGCTTGGTGTGTGTGCATGCCTGTCTCTTTGGACCTGACTGTCTCTGGGTCCTGGACTTTATAGGTGAGAGCAGGTTTTGAGCCACGATGATCCAACCTAGCTCTCCTGCCTGGTGGGCACTTCCTGGGTCCAGCCAATTTACCTCTGACATTTCTGACCTTGTATGACCCTTATTACCTGTTCTTTCATTTTAGTAAATGTTGTTCTCTTTGATCTCATATATTACTTTCTTCCTTTACATGAGATTCTTAAATATCTAAACTATAGTCTCCTGGGGGATAGAATCTGGGTCTGCCTAGGGCACGTACCACCTTGGATAGCAGATGTTCAATACTTATCTGCTGAATAGATTTTTTAAAATCACATTTCATTTCCTCCCAACATATCTACTATTCTCAGATGACCTAAAACAAATAGTTAATTATTAAGATATACTCCACAAATGTGCAAGCAATACATCCCTCACTCCACTGCCTCCTTTGGATAATAATTCTCATCACATTTCTAAACAGTTACAATACATGAAGGAGATCTAATGCTATAGACCATTTTAATAGTAAGAACAGTATTGCTGTAATCCACCCATGCATTCACTCATTTAACAAACAATTCTTAAGCATGCCATTTGTGCCAAGCACTGTGCAAGGCTCTGGGGACTTAACAATGAATCAAACATAGTTCCTGCTCTCAAGGAACTCACAGTTCACTGAACAAGAAAGACTATGGGCCAGTAATGTAACACAACTTAGTAAGCTGGATAACTGAAATATATTAAGGATTTATACCAGGTTTTATAGAAGCATAGAGGTAGAGCCTTAATTCAACCCTTTGTGTGGGTGGAGGACATCTGAGGGGAACAGGACCCAGAGTGGTGATGTTAGCTCAGGAAAAGCTTTTTAGAGGAAGTGATGCCCAAATGTGGCCATAAAGGATGAGTAGGAGTAGAGGAGGTACCGGAGGGGATGGAAATGTGTGGAATCTCAGCAGTTGTCAAAGTAGTAAGAGGACAAGGGCCCACACAGCGTGTCCAGACATGGAAATTGCTGGGCTTACCAAATTTCCATCCATTTCTAGCCCTTTAGCTTGAGATTTAGACTATTTTGCTGCCTAGGAACTGGAGCCTGTTAGTAGCTTCCCAATCAAACTTTTTCTCTGTTTTACCTTCTGTTCTAAGCTTACCATATGCCCACTGCATTCCTGAAATATGCCTTTGATGTTCAGATGCTCTGTTTACTGTGAACATATAATGGTTTCTAGCTTGTTTTTCTAAAATAAATTGTGCACTTGAAGGATTTATAATAATGAGTATTATATTAATATGTGATACTGGCAGAATGTCTTTGTTTCAGAAAAGTTTCCTCCTATATGATTTAATATGTGTGAGAACATTCAAGTTTGTGAAAGCCAAATTTTTTTCAGTGAGACCTATGTGAAGTCATGTGTCATGGCTCGTGTATTTGCACAAGTCAAAGGTTAGATCACTTATTTGGCCCATATAATTTTTATTTAGTGGCTTCAGTGGAACACCACGTATTATTTTATTTCTATCTTGTTTTTTTTTGTTGTTGTTAATCCTCACTTGAGGATATTTTCTCCATTGATTTTCAGAGAGAATGGAAGGGAGGGAGGGAGGAAGGGGAAAAGAGGAAAGAGAGGGGGAGAGAGAAAGAAAGAGAGAGAGAGAGAAACATCAATGTGAGAGAGACACATTGGCTGTTGCCTACTGGTTGCTTCCTGAAGGCGCCCCAGTGTGGGGCAGAGAGTGAACCCACAACCCAGGTACTCACCCTTGACTGGGAATCAAACCCACAACCCTTCGGTGTGTAGGCTGACGCTCTAACCACTGAACCACACCAGCCAGGTCTCTATTCTCTTTTTTTAATGATTTGTACTTTATTGAATTTTGATAAAATCACTATCATTTTAATAGCAACTATCATTTGCTTATACTTTACAGTTGAGAAAATGCTACCCCATGCATAATATATGCTTTATTATTATCATTATTATATGACTACATACTATGTAAAGCGGTTATTATATTACTTGGTACACAGTAGGCACTATGTGAGTTTTTATTAATTTAGATCCAGTTTTCCTTAATTTGAATTAGTCAGCTGTGGAATTTTGAAGCTGCATGAACTATCAGAAGTAACTGCTCCAAACCAATCATTTCATTCATTAGGTACTAAAATTAAGTCACCTTCTCAAGTGATTCTGTCATTTACTGTTGGTGCCTGAAGCCAAGGTCTTTGAACTCCTGGGTCATTGTTACCCCCACCACACCCGGCTGTGACATACTTTAAAGTAACTTGAAAAAAATTTTATGTGGCCTGCTAATCAACTGAATAGGCACCTTTTAACAAATCTGGTATGTTGCAAGTGGGCTCTTAATGATAAAAAATCTCAAATTGTTTCAGAAGTATAATCATTAATTCACTTCTTCAACAAAATTCACTAAGTGCTGCTACGTAGCAAGCATTATGAAATCTAAAAACCTACCATAACTTTCCAGTGTTCAGAACAGTAGAAAAATTATATTTTTTTAATACCCCAAAAAAACACACCCTCACTTCTTTTTTCTCTTGTTTAATATGTGCCTTCAATTTAGTTCTATGCAAAATATGGTAAGAGCTCAATCTGTTTCTGAAATAGGAAAAATACATGCTTCCTCCTTCGAATTATACAATTGGTACTTAGAAACTTTAGAAAGTAACTTAAGATGTTCAGTTTAATCTAATTCAGATTCAAGTGAGAACTACTACATGAAATTGAAATTATTCTATTTTTTTCATACCCTCTGAGGTAGAAGCAACACAAAGGGACTAATGTGGGTGCCTTTAGTCTTTCTCAGCTACAAAGCCTTCAACGTGCTGGGAAAGGTGGTAAATACCAAACACCTCAGTTTATCAACTTGCCCTCCAAGGTAATTAGGGAATAATTATATGCTATGAAAGAAAAAAAAATGCTCTTAGAGGCCACCTCCCTACAGATAGTGATTACTCTGAATTTCAGTATCCACTGTGCCTTTGTAAATGTGGACCTGAAATGCTTTCAACAGTGACTTTCTAGTAACCTAAAAATGAACCCGGGAAAATGTGTACTTCTGCACTGTCACAATGTCTGCAGGCAGCACACGTTCAGGGATGACTGGGACCTGCAAAGTTCATAGCAACCATGGTTATTGCTTCTCCACAAAATCTTCCTCACCTCAACAGATTTCTCCTTGCCTTTAACATATATTTTTATTTATTTGAGTAAAAAGGCATGTACCTTTAAGCCCAATTCCAGCCTATATACCTCCCCTTCCCCCCACTTCACTGGATAGTAATTGAATCAACTTTTTTTTGAACTTTCAAGTTTATTTTTTTGAAATATTATCCATATTCTTCCTTTGGATGTCTGTGGTTCTCGTGTCCCGGGGTTGGGGCTGCGGGGCGTGGGTGCATGCACACCTGCATGAGCATGTTTACTGACTGAGGTAACCTCCATTATAAATACACTAGGTGTTGGCCTCTAGGCATATTCTGATGCAGAGCCTCAGACTGCAATGTGACCTTCCTCCTGGGTCTGCCAGGACAGTTGTATTTATTGGCTTCTTAGGAGAACCAAATAAAAGTTGTCTGCAATTCTTTACTGAAAATAAGACTCATCTCATCTCTAGGGAGAACCCAATACAGGTGCACTATAACAAAAAGAAGTCATTTTATAAAGGGAAGATTATTCTGCCCATAATGGCATAGTAAAATGATGACACGCAGAATATTTGTTTCTAACCAATGCCATACTATTTGGATGAAAAGAAAAAAATCGAGCAGTAATTTGGAAGCTTTCTTAGTAGTGTGTAGGTAACTTATAATGTTTATCTAAAAACCACTGTTTAGTTGTAGCCTTCATAGAAATGTTAAAATTCACTGACTCTAATTTT